TTCGATTGTCAACGAGGTCTTTCTCTTCTCAGCACAAGACGGCATGGTCGGCTTCTCGTCTGCGCAGTTTCCGGCAGCGGTATCACGCATCCATCCGAATTATTTCTAGCCAACTGTGTGCTTCGCTTCATTCGCGAGACCGCGTTAATAACAGCCCCACGATACGGACGGGCTTTTCGGCCGCTCTCTACGAAGCCGTCATGGAACCTGCGATCAAGTCGGCTTTCTAGATGAATAGATTCCAGCAAACTGACTCGCAGATCCGCGTGGCTCTTCCAGAGACCAAGCGGGCGCTCAACAAGTTCATGCGTGTTACCTTGCGACCGTCAGATTTAGAGCTTCAGAGCTTCGGTAAGATGATTGGGTGGTGGTAGATTGCCTTCGTTAATTCATTTTCACGGATTGATTCCCGCGGACATCTGATTATTTTCGTGCATGAGACAGAGTGTTGGCTCAGTCTACCGAACATTTTTGGGATGGTTCAGCTCATCACTTATGCAGCTTGGTCTGTTATTCTATGAATTACATTTGCATTGCCTCATCCACTTGATCTGCTGCTTCAAGTTCCGTCCTCAGCGGCTTGGCAACGGCACTGATGAGGGACATCGCCTGTTGCGGTGGGTTACCGACTTCAACTCTCGGCCATTCCTTTGGACGGCCTTGCTTGACAACATAAGGACTCCCTCTGTAATCCAATGGCGCAGCGGCTCATCGAATCTCTCAATGGCGACGTCGAGGCCTCACGATTGCCGTGAAATCCTTTTGCGAAATGGGGGAAGCAAATATCAAGACGGAGAAAGGTGATGAAACAGACCGAGCCCCGTCATCCTTAACCGATCGTCTCGGTTTGAACGTGGACGAAGAGGTTACATCCGGGACGCTTCTAACGATCAAGCAATCCCAGTGCAGCGCAAAGCGCTTCGAAAAGAAGAGCTACCCTCTTGTCGATGTCAATATCACCGCCTGGCTGGATCATCTTCAGCAGACGAAAGACTCTGAATGCGGCCTGGATTGATGCCACCGTCAAAACCATGCCTCGGAATCCGTCGGCGGCGTGCGTCACGCCTGTGCTGGAGGATGAGCTCCGACGTCTCTGTGACGTACCCGACGTGGGAGTGACTTTCAGGATAGTCAAGAGACCATCCATTCGGTGACCAACTAAAGTGTCTCGCGTGACTCATCATGTGACAACCAAAAGGCGCAACGGTTGTTAGCGATGCAAACACTCTCTTTACTTGCTTAGAAGCCCCGCCAGTGGTCGACCAAGATGGAGGGGTGTGATGAAGAGGCGATGGGCTGAATCGGGTTCGTTGTCCTTCAGTAAATGTTGCAAGTTCTTGATGATCTCAATGGTTGGCTCAGATTTAACATGAGGCCAAGAAAAGCGTGTGAAATACTTGCCTGACTATCGACACTTGCGGGTTGAAATTGGCGGGTCGGGGGTGGAAGAAAGTAATGCAGCGCGTTTCCGCGTTAGAGCATAATTTCGGCCAACCCCTTATTTGCTTGACATCCGACTTACCTTACATTTACTGCTGCAACATCCTCCTCGACAGAGTTATATCATGCAAACGAGGCACACGAAATATTCCGGGAGATTTGAAATCAGAAACAAGACACTACCTGTGCCTGCTTTCTCCAGCACTGGTATTCCCTTTATCTAAACGATGGCACGCGTCCTGGAGGCGCGAAAATGGACCAGCTGTTGGTGTATCGTGACGCATTGCCTGTCCCCGGGCTTTTCAACAGACGCGGTTTCCAAATTCGCGGCGAAGAATCTACGCCGAAACATTTGCCTCAATCTTATTGGATATTGAAATTTAGTTGTCGCTGCGTTCACAGCAGCAGCTGTGGTATGAAAGACAGGCGACATGCTCAATTTAGCTTTCGGGCTAAACACGCTCATTGAAAGGTTGTCTTTCTTTCCCGCGCATGACCAGTGACTTGAGAGTAAGAAAGCTCAGATGGTTCAAGACTGCTATGAGAGCACTTCGTATTTCTCTACGAAGTGAAGTAAACCGTCCACTGAGCATGCTGATGTGCCAAGTAGACCATAAAAGCTTTGAAGGGACGAAAGCGCCGTCATAATAGTAAAGATGGCCTCTGGATATAAAACACAGCGTGAGGAGTGTTCTTTTTTGTTTTTTGCAATCCTTCTTCCCTTCTAACTTTTCTTCTTCGCAGTTTGCCGCCTGGAGGCGCACCTTGTTGCAAAACCCGTTCCAGTTCAGTGAAATTATGCATGGAACGGAGGGCAGACTCTGATGGCTTCCGAGAATAGTCTTATTGACGGCAATGTCCTTCAATGCGTTCTAACTACGCATTGTCGTGATATAATGTGGATGAACATAGGCATTATCTGATGGCGAAGTCGCAGTCATTGTCACGTGTAAGCCGCTATTTGACGGCGCAGATTTCCATGCATTGAGTCGGTCAAAGAGTTGAAGGATGGCTCTGGAGAAAGCGGTGGAGTTGGTATGTACCTCCGCAATACTCTGTTATTTCATCAGATGCTTTTGCGGATGGTCGGTAGCACCACGTCTAAGTCAGTTGAGAAGTCAATTGACTGAACTAGAGGCCTGTAATTATCGGCTTTGAAGACATGGTCAAACTGACGCAACGACTCGGGGTCGCTGTTCAGCCGCACTGCGCTGGATGAACGCGCCTCGACATGTCGACCATGACCCGTGTGAGCCGGCAGACCTGGACTGAGTCGGAAAATTTAAGCAGCTGTGAGCTAGTCATTCTATTGTGCTTTCGAGAGTCCTGTTTGGAGACAAGCGGTCGACATCATGGACGTCGAGGCTTCTAAGATTCGATGACAACGCGCATGGTTCAAGAAAGCAAGAATGTGTTCGGAGGTGCGATGGGATGCATAGGTTTTATATGCGAATCGCTACCCCTGATGATGTAGCCTCTGCCAAATCCCTTTTCTGCTACGCAGCCCAACAAGAGACGAGCCTTACGGCCCAGAAATTGTCTACGCAGTCAGCGCTGCCGGATTCCAGACACAAAATTTCTCAAAGGTAGTGGAATATGTCGACACAATGACGCCGCAGTCATCGCTCGCCGGAATGGTTGGTCAGTCTCATCGCAGGAGATGGGCCGGTCACGACGAGCTCGCAGTTGACAAGATGCCAAGCATTGCAGTTTTCTGGCTGGCCATTGCTAACTAGCTCAGGTGCTGTTCGGCCGGGAGGAAGCGCCGACATTGGAGTTGGCCCAGAGTCGGACAGGACGTCGGTCAGAGGCTCCCAGTCCGAAATACGCAGTACGCACGCGCTAATGGTACCGCAATCTTCGCCCGTGCTGGGATCCGTGACGTAGGACTCGATCATGGTAATTTTCTAGCCATAAAATATATCTTGAAAGTTCGGCACGCCGTCTGTCTGCACTTCGGCAGTGACCAGGTAGTTTTCAGATTGACGGTCCAGTAATGTTTGGTGTGAGCTTCTTTGGGCTCAGAACCTGGTCATAAGGAACAAAGATTGAAGATGAACTCAATACCTACACAACCGAGAAGAGTAGATTCATCGTTATTTTTCCCCGAAGACGGACCTGAAGACGGCATTTCTGGTGTAGTACTTCTCATTTCAGCGCGGAGCAGCCTCGAAAGCGTGGTCTGAGGAGGAAGCGTTACCCAAGCCTGTGTGCCGTCATTGTTCATTTGTTGCCAAGAATTCTGTCTCAAATAAATTGGGACTACTTCCGAGGGTTCCCACCCACGATATCCTCCAGCAGAAGCCCAGTGAGACCACAGCAAACGTGCATCCTGATCGGAAGTCGGTCCTTGAAATATCGGCTTGGAGCTTGCTGATGTAAGCGAGGAGATTGAGGGCAGTTGGATTGCTTTTAGTAATCAAGTGATTGGTGTCCTTTCCTTGAGACTTTTGGTATTGGTTTGTATTTATCACCGTGCTTACTGGAGTACATGATTGCGGCGTATATGGGTCCCAGAGCTGGCACCTTGGCTATCATACTGGAGGGTATCAGTAAGGTTTACGTATTGTTTCATTTGCAATGTTGTACGGAAGAAGGAGGAGCCAAATTTCTACTAAAGCAAATAGTCTTGTTTTTGTAGTGGTGAGAGGTATATTCGCAATACCACAAGAAGATGTCGTACACTGGCGATTGGACTGAGACTACAACATGGGCCTATCATACGGCCGCATCTTGACTTGAAAGCGAAAATCGGCGACGAGCCGCATCGTTCTCGTTTCCTCCAGAACCTTTCAGATATGCAGTGATCGTCTGCCGGTTCTTCTCCCAAGAGTTCGGTCACGGGCAGACTACTGGGACTTTCCATGACTCCCTGTACGCCGCGGCGGTCTAGGTGGCCGCAGCATCACTGCAGAGCAGCCCCCCTTCAGTAGGACATCTCGAGCTGCATGAATAACGAATACTCTCGCTGTGGAAGGCAGCAGGCATCCTTGTCTCTTTGTCGTCGAGATGACTGTTCATGTGACAACCGGCGCGTAAAGACACAGCCTGGGATGGAAATGGCTTCTTTTTACTTCGTAGAGCCCACGAAAATACTCGCCATCAGCACAATGGTGAAAATCAATAATCCGTTTCTTCATGTTTTGTGCCCTTTGTCATTTCCCTGCAGTTGCTTTGCTTTTCCGTTGCCACCGGATCCGCTCGTTTAAGTTTTCAGTATCTCAGACCTTCCGTTCATACGATATCCGATCCCACTACTCGTCGCATAAAGTCTATCAATCTGAATCTGTCCTATTATCCTCTATACATCCTTCTCTTTTCTCGGCGTATTCGACTATTCTGTAAATCTGGGCCCGACCCGCCGGCCCCACTGTTCCTTGCCAAGGTCGTCCGGCATGGCATAACACGCTTGTCATCCCCACCATAGAATCCCTCTCACGAGTCGCCATGCCACCCAAGATCAGGATTCCTCCTGCGGTCCAGACAGACCGTTCCGTAATGACGCATGCTGCCCGAAAGAGACGGTTGGTGCAACTACGGTCCCAAAGCCTGCGGCAGCAATGGTCAACAACCCAACGATTTCTGCTGGAGTAGTTGGGACTTCAAAGCTGAGTGTAGTGGCTATGACGATTCTCCCGGTAAGTGCTGCCCTCTGAACATCTGCTACTCCCTGGGGTGAGTTTAGAATTTTCTCCCAAGTTTCCCGGTCGCGTCGACGGCCAAATCAAATTATAAGCTTTGCGGCATGGCGCAGGACTGCCTCATCGTCAGGGACGACGGGGAAACATCTTACCAGAGCAATTGTGGACAGTCTGGGTGTGGCGCAAGTGACAGGAATGTGCCGAAGGAGGTCATCGGCTACTATGAAGGTTAGATTCGCTCCAGAAAGTGCGACGCCACGATGAGTGTCAGTCATCAGTCCAAACAACAACATTGCCTTCCTTCCTGCAGATTGCCACAGCTTCTACGGCAGCTTTTGCAGCAGGAAGCACTGAATACATGAAGATTGACAGTCTATCGATGGAATTCTCGTTAGCGCAATGACGATGCGAATCTTTATATCCGAGCATCATCCCTGGTAACTTCCGGATGGCGCCTATGGACGACCACAAGCTGTCACAGAGGACCACGGTGGTTGAACGGAAAGCCACGTCTCTCAGAAACATAGTTGCGGCAAACTATAAGAGCTTTAACAACCCTAGGTCAATGTACACCCTCTTTCACAGGGTCAATAGGGGTAAGGAGAACCATACTCAATTGATGAATCACCTCTCCATGTTGATGCGTCAATACGCCTCGGATGCTGTGGCCTTACACTGAGCTTATCAAGCTCTCTGGGCTCTCATGTCAATTATTTGCTGACCTGGCACAGAAATATCTCGGGGCGGAAGACCGCGACGGTACCAAGGTGAGAGTTGTTTTCCAGAAACAGCCGCTTGAATTTGTCACATCTGTGACAACCCCAATAAGCCACTGTTGCCTACCTTATTTCGATATCATGGGGACTCTAGATGCCGTGGACGTTCTCAGCATCAAGAGTTACGATCTTCACGGTATATAAGATGCGCGAAATCCCATCGGCTCCAAGGTGTCGGCACACAATAATAATGTCGCCAAGGAGGATTGTGTTTGCCATGGGGAAACACAAGCTCACACCTTAATGTGACAATAAGCATCAGGTCAATTACATCATGCGGAATCGAAGCCATGTAGTTAGTTAGGTACATAGGTTTGACGACTCATCAAGTCCCTGTCTGTCAAAAGCTCGCCGCCAATACCTGCATGATCCAATCTGACATTGAATCATCAGGAGGCGGTCTATTAACAAAAGCCCGAATCTGCGAATAAGCAAGGACGTTGCAACTCCTTAATCTGGTCGGATTGCTTACATGTTCAAATCATGGAGGAGGCAAGGTCTAGGTATTTCAATCAAAGTATGCTCTAACTTGCGATCCCATGACAGGTCGGCAACGATAAGGATAACGCTTCGGCTTCATCAGCTATAGCAGTACCTAGAGCAGTTCAATTGCTGGTGAAGAATAGGGCCGCCAAAGACTCCTCGGAATGTGACGTCGTAAGCAATCGTGGACGCTACATCACCAAATTTCGGTGTCGCTGAGTACAAAATTGGGTGCCAGAAGATCGAAAATCAAAGGATGAAGCTGTTACGAGGCACTCCTCGGAGAAGCACAGCTTTTTGTGCTGTTCTATTTCGTCGTCTCGAAACAAGGAGAAATGCCGCTGCTAAGTGGCCTATCCCCTCTATCAAAACATGTCTCCCGGTTTTGCCCGATTCCCACTATCCCGGCTGGCACACGAGAGTATTCCTGAAATAACTGACCCTTCCACAGGGCAGACAGTACTCCGGAGTACATCGGGCGCCATGAAACAGGAGGGGCTCTCTTACATCTGCATATACAGGGCGCTAGCAAGCATTGCGAGCATGGCAACAAGTCGTATTGCTACCGAACCCACCCACCAGGAAAGCAAGTGCTACTTCCCAGGCAAAGGCAAGATCTAAAAGGCCAGAGACGAGCCCTTTACCTAGAACGGCGAGATTACTCACGACTAGCACAAGCTTGAAGGCCTGCGAAAACTCAAGGGTAAAGCTCTTTAGCAAATGCTGCATGACGACTTCGACATAGGACTCCCTCGTCAGAGACAGCTGGTTGTGGTGCTAAAAGACGACCGGGATCAAGCCAGCTGCGTCGATGATTACTGCTGGTCAAACACCGAAGTCGCCAACACTTGGGTCTGGTCAAGAGGCGCCAAGACTTGTGAAAGCATCAATAGACGTCCGTTTCGAGCCGTCTGCTGCGCACCTGCCGAAGTCGAGGCCCTGCTCCGCTGAGTCAAGCTGAGGCATCTTTTCCGCAGACCCTCTAACACGACGATTTCAAGATCATGTTTAATCTTCATATTGATGAGACCGTGGCCTACCTGTGAGTTGACAGTAATGGGCGAGACAATACGAATTACGACCCTAATAACGCTACTTCCAACTCCCACGTCCTCACCAGCTCAATCGAAATTCAACACAATCGACAAGCGTAAAAGATCTCACTGGCAGTTGTTCAGCTGCAGTTGTGCAGAGTTACCGGAGGCACGTAGATGTTTCGACGGCTTACCCTACTTTCCCGTCACAGTCATACGGCAGTCAGCAAGGTATGCTCGCAGGCAGTAACCTGCTGTAAGAAAGTTTAAATCAAAGCTTAGAATGGGGAGCGGATACAGATGACCATACCTACGGTGCTCAAGAAGCAATGATCGATGCTGTGACCACGGCGGACATCAAAACGTCAACCTCTTTGGGTATTGCCATCATCATGGCTCCGGGGTCCAACATGGATTTAAGCAATTCTTTCATGCGCTTGAAGAACGAGACAAGTTATCAGGGACTTTTATCACCTCTTGATTTTACTTCTGACTTCTCGACAGAGTGACAGGGTATCATTGAGACTATCCTAACCGTCATACATTCATTACATTAGGCTGGGACGCGTGTACCTTCACGACCATCTCCCTCTGTTCTCTACGACGAGCTCTATCGCCATCCGTGACTAAATATGTTTTCTGGCACAACCATATCATCCCATCTATATCAACCTATGGCCTGCGATGCACTTGGTCCCCGTGTTGATCTGCATGCTAGGTTCAAAGCCGGGTCGCAGTCAAGGGTTGAATCGAGGCAAAGACGAAGATTGGAAACTGGGACACCCACCAGACCTACCCGCATCATGACCACTAGAAACCTAATAAGATTGACCCTGCGAACCGGAAGTTTCCCACCCCTGGCATCGCATCATCGTATACCGAGGCCTCAATCATATCTTCGGACCACGTCATCCCGAGACTGGCCTTCGGCATCAAGTCCGACAAGTCATGGGAAATCGAAAATGCCGCGATCCCACCTCGAGCTCATTCGTACAGTGAACGGTCGAGTTCGAGACAACCAGACATGATGGGAGGAGATTGTGGTTTTGGATACAAGGTCGCGCCTGGAGTCGGACTCGTCGCTGACACTTCAGTGTCAAGGAAATCCAAGTAGAATCCGCCACTGTACACTTTTGCCCAGGTAAAAGACCAGAAAGGTTACACTGGGCTGGAGTGTCCATGTTTTGTACTGCAACCTCGGGCAAGAATATTGCCCCCAGAACCTAGAAAGAAAGTTGGACTTCGTCAGCAGTAAGAAACTGAAGAGAGATTTGGATCTGAGACGTATCCTTCCGTAGAGTTCTCTCATGATACATCATCTGCAAATAAAGCGTTGCTGAGGCTGCTCTGTGTTGCTTTCTCTGTGGAACGATACTCAAACCAAGCTGGGATTACTCCCCGGGGAAAATGCCCCTTCTGGTGGCTTCCCTCAGCTGGCCCACACCCATTCTACCCAGAGCGAACTTCTTGTCACATAATTAATCGCCTGATAGTGCTAGTACACTTCTGTCCCCAGCTTTCCTTATGATATCTTAAGGCTATGCAGACACATATGAAATCTTCTGGCGTGTTCGGGGCAGAGTTAAGCTTCAGCGAAGTCTTGAGCAACTCCTTCCGAGGACAAAGCTAGAAGTCTGGATCTCGCGGACTGTCGCGACTATCCTTGGATACAACCCAGCAAGCTCTGTCAACATGCGATCGCTGCATCCCGCTCTTCTAGGTGAGCCGGTCGCGAACCGAAGTTACTATCAATTGCATGCCCGCGCTGGGGAAGAAGCTTGTAATAATGCTGACCCATGTCGCTGAGTTGATACTACTTATTTGACGTCTGTTGAATGAATCTGGTGAAGTACTGTGTCAATCTTTATTGTCGCCGTGACGGAGTCCCTGCTCTTCTCTGCAGGAATTTGGCGATGAGATTCTGCCTTGCGCGCTAGTGGGAGACCTGAAGAGCCCCGCGCTTACCTCTGGACCCAAGCACACAACCTAGCCACTAAAGCTGCACTCACGCCATCGCATGCTCTTCGTACGCGGCCAGATTCTCCATTGTGAACTTACTGTGGCCCTTGCGAAGCCTGGTTCTGGGCTGCTGCATGATGGATGCCTTGGTCTGTGGGATCTGGAGGTTGTGGACAAACTTCTCTGCTGACGCGGAGCCGGCGGCGTTGCTTTTCGAAGCACCAGCCGGGCATGAAGCAGCACAGACCGATCCGCTCCGGCTTGGAAGAGTGGGGCCATCGGGACATCGTGATAACGATAACGGCCCCACACGGTCCCAAAGCGCCGAGATTCACCACGGCCGGATCAAGGAGTGCCCACCCGTCCACCTGGAGGCTTTTGAACGTGCCGAGTGGCTGCAGTACGGTCCCATTAAAAAATGTGGCGGGTTGCTCGAGGACTTTACTACCCGTCCAGCCGGTCGAGACGGCAGTGATGTTTTCCAGCTGGAAACGCCTCAAGCCCGGATACAAGCATCCGCAGCCTCTCGCATTCACCGTAATTCGCTCGTAGCCCGCTTTGTCGATGGCGCCACGGCTGCTGGCGATGTGTTTGTTGCTCTGTATAGTCAGCGCCTCGCTGATTGTTATTCCCGGCGTTCTGGACGCCATCATCCCCGTCGTCACTATCTGTGGAGCCGCGCTGAATTTGGCCTTTTGATAAGAATGCCCTTTCAAGTAATTAGTATGCGTGAAGCTCTTCAACGAACACCTCGAGGGTACTTGCCACTCGCTTCTGTATAACGACCACAACGACATCCTTGTTTCTTGCGGAGTGGGGTCGATCGCTCGATTCGAAGAAATTGGGGCAGAAAGTGGTGAAATATGCATGGCGGAGATTTGCAGCAGGCGGAAATCAGATGCGTCGCCGTGCCTCCTCCCCTTCTGCGTGACAGCAAGCGCCAGCGAAGGCATTCCCGACGCTTGATGACGATAGCGGGAAGGACATTACGTATGATCCATCTGCGAACAAGAAGAAGGAATTACAAGCAAACAAGAAAGCCAAGAAACCCTCCAGGCTGTAGGAGTTGAAGAGGCTGCAAAAAAGAACAACGATGTCTATGGCACTGCAGTAAATGCAATTTCGTCTCCCGACCCGTCTGCGAGCCCTCAATGTGAAGGCAAACTGATCCAGATAGCAAAAATACATACAACACCGGGCATTCGCCGGTCGTCACCGACCCGACTACTACTCCAGNGATCGGTAAAAGAACATACAACACCGGGCATTCGCCGGTCGTCACCGACCCGACTACTACGCCAGCCCTCATTGGCTTATCTATGGGAGAGCGGACGGGATCCCGAGTTTTCCAATGGGTATGGTCGTATGTGACGGAATCTGTCAGGGGATGTGCCTATGTGGGTAACAACGTTTCCTGTCACAGGGCCAACTTGAGGGAGAAGGCGCCCCGCTCCCGCGATTCAATGCCGCGTTATGACACTGCAGATGCAGAAACGCCTACCTATATGAGCATGGTTTCTTCGCCCGTCCATATTGTGTGGTATCTTCCCGCCCGCCAACGCGCGTCTTCAACTCATGGTGTTCCTCGTTCTGATGTTTACTCCACTGTTCAAGGACCAGCCGCCCACTCGCAGCATGAGTCCAGCTCATTCGATATGGCCTTGACCGAAGGGAAATACAAAAGTGTATTTGCATTTGATTGCGGTGAATGCGTTGAAGAGGCTATAATGTGGTCCTACTAAGACAGTAAAAGTGAAGCCTCTTTCGTTCGGTCTTTTTCTTCATGACATGACTTCAATCGTGTCAGAGCCTTTCTCGCTGACATATTCCCGATTTGCCTGTGCGAGAAGCAAAAAACAGCTAGAACCCTCCGCCATTACATCCTGCTATTGTTTCGGAAACGCTTTCATGAACTTTTGATGCTGCAACCACAGACAGTGGATTTCCATGAGCCAGAACCCAAGCCACCACGCAGACATACACTCTGTCTGGACAACTCAGCGTCAGGTCACAGTTTCTACTAGGAAGTTCAGGCATGTTCTACAACATCCATCCACTTTCGCGATACCGTCCAGCTAGACAGAACAATTTCGAGCACATTCATCCCGCCATCCAGGTTGAGTTGCTCAATCAAGAACGAGATTATGGCGGCGCTCAAGTCCTGCTACAACTCGACGACTGCGTCCGGGCGCTCGCCTGCGGTCTTACCCATGCGTATCTGGAAGCCCCAGATATCATCAATGGCATCGTTGTTTACCACGTCCGCGACGTGGATGCAGGATCCGATGTTGCTCGCCACCTCGGATCAAGTCGCATCCGAGACCATGTCGTCGCTTGTCACCTGGTACGGCTCCATATTCATTATCTTTTGCGAGTTACTGTTGGAGATCGTTTGGATTTGAATGCAGCCCAGGTGCGGCTTCGAATCCATTCATGTCGGACGACCAGAACTTAATAGGCACAGGGGACGTCCATGAACGTGATCGTGGAGTTAGGTCAGGAGAACGCATGGACATGGCCCATGAATGCCGGCATGGGCCTCACACGTCACCTAGGAGTGACAATCAGCACATGTACTGGTGCATGAATAGGACCGTGACTCTCTGCTGAACTATGTTCCCCTGCCGTTCTGTCTTTGCATTTACGTCACAAGCGTCCCACTTCTTTCGTGCGTGGATTTCTTAAAGACTAAGAGCGAGCCCACTTACCCGACCAGGGACAGGAGGTTCGACTGGGACATGTATCATCCCTCACTTGGAGACCGGAATGGACAGGTATGAGCCTGATGCTTTTCATGTCCACGAGAAGCTCGAGCTTCGCGATCTGACCCTTGAATATAAGTACAAGCGCGTCTGTCTGCTTGATGAAAAGTTGGCTCCCCACAAGACTGCCAGACAAAATCGACCCCATAATCACGATGGTGGCCAGGCACAACGTCCATAAGTACATAAAGTTCGAGAAACTGACTGCGTGGACATGACTGTGACCGTGACCACGCACGAATACACAGCCGAGATGGTGAATGGGTGGATGTAAGACGACTCAGTCAACTCCAATGCCATGGCCCTGAGGTAGACTGCAAGAATGAGCGCGCACCGGAATATGGACAGGAGACTGAGGTTGATGTAGATTGTGGTCATATTTAATAGTGGACTCCATATGCCCGCCCACAGACGCAGAGGAGCGCCTGTTCGAGACGTTGAGGCAGAGATACGTCCCGAGCATGAGCAATCTGACGAGCCAGGTCTTCAATTCGTTCATGCTCAGGTTTAGTTTTCCTGGTAGCGCGAATGGGCTCCTGCGCAAGTTTATGGTTCTGTGCAAGTTGACGGCCCCGAACGTGTCTTTGACCAGTTGGAATTATCGACGACGCATGACCTGCCGATCCTGATCTTGAACGCGATAAGAACCAGCTTTGGGGGCAGGGAGCAAGGAACTTGCCGTGGCCACAACGGTGCCCTTATCCGTCATCTTGATGTACCTCCTCTCCAGATCCGGAGCGCTGCTCTTGGTGTCAGTCTTTTCGGAGAAGTACATCCCTATGATAGTACATGTAATTTCAGACTCCATGGTGGCCATACCCATGTATATACGGAAACTTACACCTCAGGAATATCAGGGGTTCTCCTTCGGCATTGAGTGCCACAAAATCGTCTAGGTAGGAATCGTCGACTCCTACGGGTGCCCGTAGGTAGTCCCGGCCAACGTCGAGATCTCTGACGACATCATGAGCATTGTCAAGCCCCTCTTCAAGCTCGCCATCTCGCAAATGCTCTTATACGAGGCTAGCGACGCGTTAAATGGGATGAATCCCGTTTCCATCATGACCACGAACCAGAACACAACCTCCGGCGCGCAGACGACCATGTCCCCGCGCAACTTCAAATATTTAATTCGTCCGGTGGTCCCTGTTTGATTGAATGCAATGATCGGAGTGGGCTAACTATTTCGGCAATACCTATGTCTCAAACGGCTTTCAAAATTCACAGAATTAAATTCTTTGATGTGATGAAGTAGGACATCACTTGCGGTAATGGCTTTATCGTGCGCAACGCAGTGCTTGATAGGTGGCGAGTACTCATCACGCCAGTACTGGGATGGCATTGATCACAGCGAATGATGCAGCGCTGAGGTAGCGGCCAAAGACAATCGTAAAAGCCGCAACATTTGTGAGACATATCAATCGACTTGGGAACTCTTGGACCGCGAGAACGAGTTTCTATTTCTCTTTGAGGGGGCGATGCCATTGGCCGACGTGGTCGGGGGGCTTGAGGTTCACAAGCATTGCAAACAGGTCGGGACGATTGCAAAACAGTGAACCGTACGGTCCAGGTTGAGGACAGATGCCTTCCCTGCTGGAAGACAGTAACTTGTTCGCGTTTATCCTACCACAGGCCAACGCCACCGTACAAATCCCTCAACCGTCTCGTGCGACGGCTAACGACGGCCAAAATCTGCAATGTGCATGGATTCGCCAATTCGAGTCGATTGAGTAGTCAACGTAGTGGAAAACAATCATTGCTATGATGCCACATCGCTACACTACCTCTGTAACCGACTTCGCCCAACGCGAATGGGTGTTCTTCAAAGCACAAACGGGCACGCCATCTATGACATACTCTCGGAACGAAATGCCTGGCTTCCTCTCGGTCAATCAAGCGTGTACATCCGACACACCAGCCTGAGACAAGTCTTTGGGCGGAATATGAAGGATGATGTCTGGTCCACCCCGTGTGATCACAACCTCCTCATAACAGTGTTGATCAACCTCTACCACAAGTATCCTCTGTGTATTGTGGGCCATTTTCACGCAGTGCATGTCGTCCTCTACTGGCTGAGATACGGCTTTGGCGTTGATACCAAAGTCCCGCGGGAGATTGACCACAAATACAACAAGACGATGTCTTCCAGATGCTATTGATCTGCTCAGAAGATGCCCCTGATCGATGTAGCCGTCCATCTCTTCGGCTCAAGCTAGCCCCCCAGAAGGGTTTCTCTCGTAAATTTCCGTGAGTTCGGTAATTGGTCGACGTCGCGCGGGATACGAAGGGCAGGAGGGAAGTGTGGGTAGGAAGAGAGGATGAGGGCAGCGGCAGCGGCAGACGCAAGTTTTCGCTCCGGGAGTTTCGCTGGAGACGCCGGCTTCAACGTTCATATTGTCTGGTTTGCCTTGAAGTCATGAGAAAGACTGCAGCGAGGACGTCCGAGTGTGTGTGGGCCTTGGCGGACTGACTTTCTCGTCTGCCGACCGGGTGGGTGGTCTCGGTAATCCTGCAGCTGCGCTTGGGTCCGACCCTCTCTTCAATCGAGCAGCTCGGAAACTTGTTGCATTGTTTCAGGGGACCGACCCCTCTTCAACTCCTTCAGGTGCAAGCTGATTCGAAGTAGAGGCTGCGTTGTTGTCCTCAGTACCCTCCGCCGGTATTTGAAGTATCGTAGAAAGAAACCATGGCCAGTACACCGTCTCCGTCCACCAGGCAAGGTACTGGATAACACGGATTACCTGGTACGCTCCATCGGGTTCAGCTGTAGAGCCTACGGTTTTCTTGGTCCACACGATCTGCATAAATTACCCATCAGCTATCACAATCGTGGCGGAGAATTCGGGGGGACGCCAAGCGGGGAGGCTTACTGTGCTTTTTCCTTCACGCGTGGAGGCCACGAAATGCCAGTCCTCTGCTTGAATAATAAGACCCGGCAAGAAGGGCAGACCTTGCAGGCTGGCCCCATTGATTTGCGCAAGGCGATCGAGATATAACCACTGCGCAGCATGCCATGTCCCAATTTGTAGATGCGCATCATCAAGGCTAGCATCTCGCTGCTTAGACTCGATACTCAACGAGATGGGCTTGTTGCGAAGTTGGAAGTGGGGCGTGTGGTTGATGGTGGTGCCGCCCAACTTGTTCCGCATGAGATCGATGGCCTCCATGATGTCGGGCCGAGATGTTTCCTGAGATGCGGGGTCGACGAAGACGCAAAAGTCGACCATGCGAGGCGGCGTGCCTTTCATGAGTCCCTGATGTATTGCAGCCGTTGTTCTGTTGGATGGCGTCAGTGTCAGTTGTGGGTCAAGGCGGACAGCACAGCAGGTACTCACGAAGGCGTGAAGTTGACGAGACCGTCTTGGACAGGGGCGAGGGGCCGTCGCAAGGACAGAGCGAGTATTCTGAAATGCACTTCGCGGTCCCAGGCTGCTTCGTCAAACTTTTCCTGTATGCCATACTGCGAAGCCAGGATGATGGGGTTCACCTCGGCAAAGGAAGGCACCGGCCCATATCGTTTCACCCGTTGGTCTGTCGGTTCGTAAAAGTTGCTTGCGTCGAATTCGACCCTAGGATATGACGCGCGTATCATCTCCTGTGCGACAGCGTCCCGTCAGTATAATCTGAATTGAAGCATCATCAAACAGGGGCAGGAGATGGAGACCACCTACCTCATCGCTCGTAGGGATGATTTCTCTGCCTTTTGCGAACCTGGTGACGACGTCGTGGACATCTCGCAACTCCCGAAGGCCAGGCCTGGCGTCGATGTTCTGAATTGTCTGGATGGAAGCTAGTGGAAAGAATTTGATTGGGTTCTGGCTGATCTCGGCCGCGCCGTACTGTTTTGTCGGGGACTTCGAGCGACTGGGTCGGGATGACGAGGCTACTGACTTATTGCCATCGCAAGAGACGGAGTCGTCTGGTCGCACGGGAGCACGTGGGGTTTCGTCGGGGTTGGACTCTGTGGGCACGAGACGCGGGCGCTTTGTTGGGGTGAAGGGATTGTCCTGGTCTGCCATCGTCGTCCCGATATCTTGCCGGTCGACTTCGACACTCGAACTGGTGGCTTCTGGGTGTGAGGAGATGTCGTTGTGGTCGGAGTTTGGAGGGGTGAGGGCTTGACTGTTGCGCCTCTTGCGCTTGCTGGAAGGTATCGGTGGATGGGCGTCGCAGGGTGTTTTGGAGGCTTCGGGGATGCTCAGAAGCCACTGGCGAACGGCTTTGGAGTCACACATGAGTGGAATACAGGCGATGCGAACATGCGTGTGGGCAAATACGATATCGGTGTCGAGGTCAAATGCGTTTCCCAAGGCCGGGCTTGGTGTTGACGATTGACCCATGTTCACGGATGTATGGTTGCTGGGGTAATGCGGCACGGATAAATTCCATCCGCGTTACCTCAGGACGGGTGCCACCCAGTGACATTTTTTTTTAGCTCCAGTCACATCGCTGACTGTCAATGAGTGCCCACCAGGTGGCGCCATGGCCCGTGCACCGGGGGGGCTTTCTTGGTTTTGTTTCCTTCTGACGTAATCAGTCACTCTTGGCGGCGCTTCACGCAGAGACGTGGAACTGGGCAGTGGGGCCGGCTTGGTATTTGGGCGAATGGCAGTACATCGCTCACAGCCCCTTCCCCTGCGCGACACACACTCATGGAGAAGCCACGGCCCAACGTCGTCCATTGTCCCTCCTTCCCTCCTCTTTCTGTACCTTAGGTAGGCAGGTTCTTTCCTTTGGTCCGCCTTCTATCTCCTTCACAGAGTTTCTGGTGTCTTGTGCCTTCCGCCTTCCCACTGAACCCGACTCGACCGAGGGGCCTCAGCAATCGCACGGAACACCATGTCACCGAGCGCACTCGAGACCGACGAGGTCCTCAAGGTCAGCCGCAACAAAATCACCCTACAAGAAGTCAACGACCTGCGCATCGCCAATCTCAACCAGACGTCTACCGAGCCCACCCCTGTCGATCATCAGAAAAAGCACCAGAAGACGGTCCGCAACTCGCCGAATCTCCAGCACCAAGCGAAGCCAGCTTTCCTCTAATGTTCGGCAGCCAATCGGACAACAATGGTGCATATCCAAGCCGGGACACTGGCTGCTGCCGCAATCTTTAGCCTGCAGGTGCTGTTGACTCGGTTGCTCCCGATGTCTCCACCAAAAATCGGGAGGTACCCGCTGCACTCTCACTGTACTCACAGAGGGTACCTCCCGATTACAGCGCTGGAATCAGGAGGTAACCACTAAACACACTGCCCTGGGTTCCCTCCACTGGCCAGCAGCCTCAGCAGCCCAGCACATCCATCATTAACGAAAGAGCTTCAAGAAACAATCACCCGGCTGGACAGTGGTGAAATGCTCACAGACAACTGCATAGATGTCTTGCAAAAAATCATGCTGAAAGCTTTGTCGCAATCGGAAATCCATGTCGTACATCCCTTCCATTTCCGACCGGCTGCCCCGCGTTTGCCGCGTGCCGTCAATCGTGGACGCAAGCCCAAGTTCCTGGCCGCGATCCACCACAACTGTCACTGGGGGGTCCTGGCTAGCTTCAACGCCATAGAAGCTTGTATCCATCTGTGGGACCCTCTTCCCGTCTCTGGCGTTCTTGGTACGATGAAGAGAGCAGCTGTTTCTTGGTTTGAGAAGATGGTTTCCAAGTCCCCGGTCCAAGTTTCAATCCTTGTACGTTCCACAGGGATTGTCTCGATCAAAGCTAACCAGTCCACAGACAGGACCTAAGCATGTCAATTGTGGTGCCTTCGTGCTTCTTGCTATGAAGCACCTCTTGGAAGGAAATGGCGGACCTTCACCCACCACCAAACGACGAAAGGCCTCCCCGCTCGAAGCCGCACCCAGGCCGTACGTGCAGAGCAGCGATTTGAAGGTCAACAAATCCACTCGATTTCGCCCGGCGAACAGCATCAGCGAGATTTTCGCGAGCATTGAGGCTTTGGGAAAGCCATGCCCTCAAGCCGTGTCCAGCGCCGTGTCGGAAGTCCAGCTGTATCGGGGAAGCTTATAAATAGCATACAAACCCGGGAAAAGGTGTCCCATCGCCTGCGAGCTTCAGAGCAGCAGCCTCAAAAGATCCAGTTCGATTGCGCGCGGATCGGAGCTGCTCGAGAGCGCACAAGGAACTGCTCGGAGCACATGTCGGTCGAAAGAACCAAGTCCGCATTCCCAGACGACTTCGGCGCCACAATGGTTCAGACACCGTCCCCGACACTTGCACAATGCGAGGAAAATATCCACTTACTGGAGTTTTCCATGTCTGGTGCACGTGCTGAGCTCGAGATGGCGGATGTGGCCATCCAAGGCACCAAAGAGCGTCTGAGAGATGCAGAGAAGAGGTTTAACGACCACCAAATGCGGGCAGACTTTTGGCAGATGCTAAAGACATATCGAAAGCAGACGTGATTGGAGAAAAAGGGGTTCACCTCTGTTATCTCCTTTGCTGATCGGTGCTGGGGAACGATGGTGCATATGTTCAAGAATTGAACCTATACGGCTTTGATTTTACATCTGCGATGGCGTGTGAAATGCTTCTCGATTCTTATCTGACGACCTTATTTGGCAATTCGCCAGGTTCGCTGTGAACTGAATGGCATGGCACTCAGCCCATTGCATAATAATCAATGAATATCTGACTCAAGTTCTCGTTCCTTCAATGTATGAAGTGCCCACCACTGTCGTCCAACACCACGCCCAATGGTAATGAAGATCAGCCCCATGACCGACACCCGCACGAAGACACATTGACTAGGATTCCAGCCGAACACCTCAGTGCGGTTCATCCAAGATGTAATCTTTCAAAGTAGACACTATATCATGTCCGTATCGAAACGGCTACGGGCAAATCCGTGTGCCTGGTTCCCTGCTTGATGAGCGTAGGTAGCGCACGTCTGGTGTAGACCGCGGTCGAAACACGTCACGGACACCATCCATGCCCGCCTCACCACAGTACATGTTTGGGACGGATGATTGATCAGGATGACCAAGTCCAGGCACGACGAGGTGATAATGTTAGACATCCACTCTGGCACGATGGTTGGCTCAGGCCACGGTCATGGCCCGGGTTGCAAGTGGTAATTTTGATGTGAAGGGGCTGGTGACGGCGAATGGCTGCATTCTCTGCCTACGTAAGGCTACAGCTTCCCGCGGCTAAGACGCATGAGGGCTACAATGCTTGTCGCTGTGTCCTTTACCCTCTTTCCCATTCCTATGGTCTCATTGTCGACCGGGTGTCCAAGAGGTGCTTCAACTACGCATGTCTTCTCGGCATCCGCCTTTTTCGCTGTCAATCTAGGCCGCCGGAGCTTTCAGAAACACTACTGGGACGTCTTTATCTCTGTCAAAAGTGCCATTTTGGAGTCATCCCGGAATTTTCTGTGTATCTGCTATCATCCGCCATCCGATATCTTCTCGGCCTTTCGTAGCTTGTGCAAGCTCTAGTCACGATGCGTATCTCTTCCGACTTACTCCTGCGCCGTCGTCACGCTGAAGCTTCTGCTGTCAACGAGAAAATCGGCTCAGATATTCGCCTTATTCACAATCATTCCTGGAAAACAAAATCCTCAAGAACCACAGAGAAACCGACCTGAGCCAACCGAAACGAAGAACCCTTCCGTCTCAAGGAAACGTCTTGCCCAGCGCCAAAGTTATGACAGAGACGAGTTATGTGATCCGGTAGGCCTTAAGATCAGACTGTTGTCCATGAGTCAAAACTCAATCCATTGACAAGGTATAAGGACCAGTGAAACCCCAACCTCGTGCAAAACGAGTGATGAATGCTGACATTTCTTCAATATATTATTTGCGAGCTTTGTTTCCGTACACATCGTCGGTCAGATGGTTGCCGTTTAGACATTATTGGCTTGGTTGGATTTGTTGCCATGTACGGCGTGGCGCAAAAGTTCGGTCCTCCCTCGCTAATGCTGTCATCCATTATGTGATTTCGTGCAAGACGGTAGGCCCGTCAACGCTGTCGAACTGCCTGCTGCTTTGAGTCAAACTCGCTGTGCTCAAAATTATGCGTGATTGAAAAGCACGTCTATGTTGCCAACACTGTTTTGTGAGATTTTCCAGGGCGAAATGACGAAAAGTTATTATACTACTCAAAATTTCTCTCGCTGACAGAAAGGAGGCAAACCATGGACCAATGTGTTGAAATTCTAATGCCAAATCTCCGACTGTGGGTTAGAGCATGTGGCCGTGCCTGATTTCCGACGGGAGCAAGAAACGGCCCTCGACATTCAAGGACTTACTTCTATCTCAAGAATTGCCACGACAAAGAGGTTGCAGAGATGCTCTTCGAGGGCATTTTTGAGGGTCAAGACCTCTCAAAAGTCTGACTACTTGCGCAAATGGATTGAACAGCATTCACCCAAGTGTCGATCCAGTGTCCACACTCCGGGGCCATACTGAGTAGACTTCTTCAGAAGTCTGGACAGTCTTTCAACATAACATTCGCGTGCCGCACCCCTAGAATCGGCAATGCACTTTTGATTGCCATCAAAGTTGGATCGACGATAACAAGGTCCAGGGATCCAGGAATAGATACGAGGGATGTAAGTCAGGTAACGATCAGAACGATGAGATAAGCTGCTATTGTGTTTTCCGTGTTTGCGTTGGGGCTGCTAGTTGGCAAGAGAGCTTGAAGCATTTCCGGGGCAGTATACTCAAAGGAATCACAAGAGTGCAGTTAATTTTGTTAAAATCTTGTCACTTGGTCCCCGTATGATTGAGCACTTCGAACGCTTTTTTTCCTTCCCTGGAAAAGAGAGTCACGTCTCATAAGGACAAGTTGGAAAAGTTACAAGCCATCAAATAAGGTAATCAGAGCCCATCGATAGCAATACCCAGATGCCACCTCTTGGTATCTGTCTTTCTTGGGTCGTCGCTTGGCATTTCCCAAAAATAAAAATACCTATTTGTCCAGCGACACTTGGAACAAGATAAAGCCAAACCAGCTACCGCTGCATTACAACAGGCCAAATTTCTTGTTGCTCACCTCTGGATCTGATATCTTTAATGGCCTGGGCATCCTCAACATTACCAGGCTTGTCTCACTCACCGAACTTCGTAAGTATAGAGCCTCCCAGCCGAATGAACAGTTTAAATAGCGTTTTGCAGATTGTTTCCCGCAAATGCATTGAATACTCCAAGCTCTGCGGAAGGATCCTTTCAGTGATGTTGGTCAGCGGGCCTGTTCTCACTTTGTCAGCGCAAAGGTAAAGCTGCCGGCAAGCATGCTCGTGATCTAGTGGGCTCTGGTTGTGACATATTTGCTGGTCTATGAGTGCTAGACAGATTTCAGCGGCCCGGATAATGTTGCAGGGTT